TTTTAGATTAAATTTTGATTTTTAATTTCCAAATAAACATTAGAATTTCAATCGTCACTCAATAGTAAAGTCTTAACTTTTATCAAACTTCTCAATTGACAAGGATAAGAAAATAGTACAGAACAATCAATTCTTAATTGTTTTCAGGATAGTGGATAATTTAAAATTTATAGAATTTTACTCAGCCATAAACTATCTTTAAATCTAATATTCAATTAGAATTATCAATATATTTCAATTTTGAGTAGCAAAAATAAACAATTAATAAAATATTTTGTCAATTCATCAATATATTAGATTAAAATTTCGAAATTCTTTTTGATATTCTTTTGGAATTTAAATTATTATTGAAGATTTACTTTAATAGTGAATGAACTTTCTTTTTTTAATAAATTATTAACCAATCATATAATTTCTCTTATCATGGAAGTATGGAGAATGAATATTTCTATGTGAAAATTCATTATAAGAATTGACATAAAATTAAAAAAGAAGAAATAGAGTTTATGTTTTGGATTTCTTTACCCTATTCTATTAGATATTAAAGTATAATTTGATATTTTGTTAAGGAGAAAAGAATTCAAAAATATATTTGCTCTTTTGTATGATATTAGCAAATACTGTATAAATGAAAATAAAAATTAATAAAAAGAACTACATAAATTCTTTGAATATATCTTTATATCATAATAAATGGATGAATAATAAATAAGAGTTTAAGGTATATTTTAGATAACAAATATGATCTAAGATATATTTAACTTCAAATGAGACCTTTTTGAATTGATTCAATCCACTTGTTGAGTAAAAATCAAAAACTTTCAGTTCTGTTATTTTTAGAAGTAATACTTGGTCAAATCTAAATCAGAATGTTTCTACTATATAATATCTCTTTAAATTAATTTTGATGGCTTCCAATTAATAAACAGAAGGAAGATCTTCTTAGTTTTTTTGATCCACTTTAATTGATTGATATCTTTTCAATATAAATTATTTAACCTTATTATTATTGCTCATGTGATTCAATGAATATTGTATTAAATTTCAACTGCTTTTATTTCTTAACTTTAAAAACTTTGAATAGTTACCTTACATACTAATAAATAGATTATCAATCTCTACTGATTGTTTAAGCTTCTATTTTAATTTCTGAAATGGAAAAGTTATCTCTGCCAATTTATTATTAATAAAGTAAATAATAAATTCAGTTCTGAATAACTTATGGGTTTTCTGATAAGTTATCTATTGAAATCAATCCAATCAATTAAAATTGTGTAAAACATAAAATCTAATTATTTACTGGAATTAAAATATAACATATAACAAAATCTTTCCATCACTTTCAATATTCCAAAAAAAGTTACTTTTCAATCCTATCATGTTCTTTTTCCTAGACTCAAAGAAAGCAGCAAATATTCTTATCATAGACTTTATAAATTAATATTAATATTTTGACCTAATTAAGTAAATAAAATAAATACTCCAACCATATCATAATGTTCAATTTTACTATCATTTTAAATTCTAATCCAATTTATTAAATTTAAAAACCGTTGAAAATCTCCATCTAGTTACTTTTAGATCAACTATACTATTAACAATTTTTTTGACAAACTCTAGATCATGGCACGTACATATAAAGGTCTTTAAAATCATTTTTAAAAATAATATATTATTAATTGTTTTTTTTCCAATGCTTTTAGAAAAAAGAGCACAAACTTTTAGCAAATATCAAGAAATCAACCATAGTTTATAGACAATAATTCCACTGCTTACATAATCTAAGATATTTTTGTTTATTATTAAGATTATTAACTTATGATTATGCTTTTTACATTTTGAAGATCATTTAATAATTTATTTAGAATCTTGAATAAGTTTCATCATATAAAATAAATTGAAATTATATATAGTGTATTTTTAATTTTTCACAATCAGATTTTCATTTACAAATATTAGATTGTTAAATCAATATTAATATTTATTTTCTATTAGTATCATTTA